AAAGGTCTTCGGGCTAGTTGTGGAGGGAATGCTCCAGAATGAGTCATGAGATGGTTTCTCCGAGCACGGGGGCCAGGTGTGCTCTGTTCGGGCCTGGCCTGGGCTGTGGAGGGCGGGATTAGAGGACCGGCGAGAGGGTGCTTCCGTGACCCGAGCTTCGGGAAAGACTCTGAAGGAGCCTCCAGGGTCCACGGCCAAGTGTGGCAGGTAAAAGGGGTCCAAGTGCGTTTTTGTTTGTTGCTGCTCCTCAGTCCCTGCTCCGGTTGAGTGAGAGAAAACCCAGCCCTTCCATTCTGGAGCTGGGTCTTTTCGCTCCTTTCACACCGTGTATGCATTTAATTGAGGGATCGTACTTAACTGCCTGCTATCTCTTGGCCTCCTGAGTCACTTTCCTCTCAAGCTGACATGTACTTGTGGTTTTAAAGTCTAAAGATTGCTATGTTTGGGCCACAATTAGGATAAATTCTCCATCCTGTCGAAATGTTTCTAGGTCTTTGAATGTACAAGGCACTTGTAGTCAGTAATTTGAAGTAGCAAAGCAGCGATTCTAAAAAGAAATACACAGCTGCTTCCTATGAACACGGCACTCAGCCTCTCCCCGTGCTCCGAAGGTAAGTGGAGGCTCGCCCCACTTCTGCCGGAAGCTCACTGACCTTGACCCGTGGCATGTAAAGTAGTCGTGGTACCCCCTTCCTACAGATGTGAAAATGAGGCTCCGTTTTAAAACGTGGCTTTTGTTGTGATAGATGGGGTGCTCAGAATCCATCTTCCACTTCGGATTTTTCTCCCCCGGCTCCGTGCAACACGTGCCCCCACCCCCAGGCCTGTGGAGTATGTCACTTCTCCTGTCAGGAGGAAATAAAACTCCACTCTAGTCTGCAAAAAGAGCCCAGCAGGAAGCAGAATGTCGGCACCACATTTTCTAGAACTAGCTATGCCTTAATCATTTATCAGCTGTGCGAAAAGTGAGGCGGTGGTGGTGGTTCTCTCTCTTCCAATCGATTTAAGCAAATCTGGAAGGCTTCCCATCTGACCCGGCTTCCTGCGACGCTGGCTTTTCCTGTCCCACGGTTGTGTCACCTCCAAGGGGTTCCTAGCAGCTGTGCAGGCCACTTCCCTTCCTTCCTCGGGTCACTTCTGTGTCTTTCCTGCAGTCAGCACAGACTGATGTCCCCCCCAGAGCTTGGAGCTGGGAACCCGGACTCTGGGACCCAACCCACATTTATTAGAGGCGAGGACGTCTAGGGAAACCTGGCGCACAGTCACCTCCCGTCCCCCTCAATCCAGCCTGGTCACACCTGCTTTCCCTGGCCGCCTCATTTCCAACAAGAAGGGCCATTGTCTCCGGATAATACCCGGAGAGCTTTCTCAAGGCAGATACTGCCGACTTCTACTGTCAGGGCTGATAAATTGGCCTAGTATGGGTCTCCCCACGAATATAGCAGGGAAATGTGCAATAGGCACCTGCAAGCAAAGAATTTTCCGACTGCAGATTTGTCAAAGTAAAATAACCCCTAATAATGTTTTACTTGGCAGCTTTGTGACGGCTACAGCACGAAGCCGGGCAACATTTACAGTGAGAAGCCTTAAGCGGGGTTCCTCTTTCGAAAAGTGGGTTTTGTGTTTTGTTTTCCCCCCATGTCCGCAGCTGTTTTGCCCACGTTTTATTTCTAACATAATTTTTTTTTTTTAAGATTTTCATTTATTTGACAGAGCACAAGTAGGCAGAGAGGCAGGCAGAGAGAGAGAGGAGGAAGAGGCAGGCTCCCTGCCGAGCAGAGAGCCCGATGTGAGGCTCGATCCCAGGACCCTGGGATCATGACCTGAGCCGAAGGCAGAGGTTTTAACCACTGAGCCACCCAGGTGCCCCCCACGTTTTATTTCTGACCTTGCACTCTGTGTGGTGTGTTTGCCCCCAAGTGCCCTTGGTAGTGAAACTTGAGGCAGAGGAGGATGTAACAGCAGAGGTCACGTCTGAGCAGGAGAAGGTCACTCCGCGTGGTGTCCGCCCATGAGCCGAAAGCAGCACTTTTTCTGGGTCCGACGTAGAATCACTGGGAAGCATTCTCGTGTGGAGGACAGGTGTCTTGCAGAAGGCCTTCTTTTCTAAATAATGTTCCCGTCTTATTGCTTTGCACCACTCTCTCTTTGCTATATGTCAATTCAATTAGCAGCTCTCCTGACATATTTGGCATAATTTACGAGAAGTGTTAAAAAGCACTTCATGATGAGCTTCCCGAAAGCTCTGGAAGGAACTGAGGCTTGTCTTTGTAAGCCACTGACCCTGGGCTACAGAAGACCTTCCATGGTATGGGCAACAATGTAGCCCAGTGTAGTGCTGTTTTCATCTGTGCTGTGGGGAACACGGCTCCCCCATGAGGCAGGAACAGAACCAACCAAAGGCAGGAAGAATTCCCACACTGCAGAGTTGGAAGCAAGAGGAAGGAACTTGCTTCAGACAGAAACCTCATGTTCCATGACCAGAACCTTCCGTGGCACTTTAATTAGTATATAGTGATGATTGGTTCATCATTCTGGTGCAACACTGAAGGATTTCCGAAAATGTATTCATGATTTGCATTTGGCTTTAAAAGACAGATAGATACTCATGGAATTTTTAGCATCTGCCTAAAAGTACATAATGTTTTCAAAATGCTGTACATTTGGGCTTTTTTTCCTTAGAGAATGGAACCACGGTGTAAAACAGAACAATTTCTAATTTGAGTGCGTGGAAGGTGACCTTTGATGCACCTAGATTGTATTTCTTATTTTCTGACCTAAGTAGATGTGGGTTTATCCCTATTACCTTTATGACCTCTCAGTTTTAAATCTAGGTCAGATGTTCTCAAACCTTAATTTTGATAAATAATGTCAGAGCATGGATGAACCTTGAAAACATTATGCTAAGTGAAAATAGCCAGATATAAAAGGTCACTTTGCATGATTACATTTCTATGAAATGTCCAGAACAGGCAAATCCAAAGAGACAGAAAGCAGGTTGGTGGTTGACAGGGACTGTGGGGAGGAGGGAATGAGAAGTGATGGCTTAATGGGTACGGGCTTTGTTTGGGGGCTCAGGAAAATAAATGTTCTGGAACTCCTAGTGGGGACAGTGGTACAATATTATGAATGTTGTAACAGCTACTACATGGCATACTTTTAAATGGAGGACTCTGTTATGTGAATTGTACCTCTATTTTTAAATCACCTGGAGGGCTAATTAAAACACAGGTTGCTGGGCCCCAACCCTGAGTTTTTCTGACTCGGTAGGTCTGGGTGGGGCCTGGGCATTTGCGTTTCCAGTAGGTTTCCAAGTGATGCTGATGGGAGGACCACACTTGGAGAAATACCAATCCAGGCATATGGTGGGCAGCGGGAGGTTATGTCCTTTGTGGTTTTTTTTAAGATTTTATTTATTTATTTGACAGACAGAGATCACAAGTAGACAGTGAGTAGAGAGGCAGGCAGAGAGAGAGAGGAGGAAGCAGGCTCCCTGCCAAGCAGAGAGCCGGATGCGGGGCTCAATCCCAGGACCCTGGGATCATGACCTGAGCTGAAGGCAGAGGCTTTAACCCACTGAGCCACCCAGGCGCCCCTGTCCTTCGTGTTTAAATCAGCACATCAAGGGTGTCTTGGTCACTGGCCATGTTCTGGCCGTCCCCTCCAGGTAATGCAGTGTGCGCGGACCTCCATCATGAGGGAAATGGGTTTTGAAATAACTGAACTTGGAATCAAATCCGGGTTCTTCCATCCCCTAACTGTAAACTCACAAAGCAACCCTTCGTCTTGCTGGCAAAATGAGAACAGTCCTACATGTCTCACTGGTTTTCTTGGAAGTTTTAAGTCCAAAAGAAAAAAAGTATAAAGGGAGAAAGAAATATTACTGAGAAAGCACCCGCCATGCCACCCAGCTTAAAGAAGTTTCTCAATATTAGTTATTTTTGAAAATATGTAGATATGTTAACCGAATATAATTATAATTTTTATATGAATCCTATGTTAGATGGATAAGTATGCGTGGTATATTTATGCATATGTAAATATGCGTCCATAGTTTATTTCTATGGATGGAGAGGGGGTGTGGGGCATGGGTGTGTCCCGTAGCTCCCTTGGCAAAGGCCCTACAGGGGGACAGTGGGAAGGGCTCCAACCACATTTGGGATCCTCCTCAGAGCTTGGATTATCATAGACTCTTGGAGACTCCTTCTTGAGTAAGGAAGTGGGTAAGTGATTCCATGAAAGAGTAGTGAACACACTACCCAAAAACTTTAATTCTGCTGTCACCCAAAGCTCAGAGGCAGAGTTGGTACCTAGGAAGTAGGGTGATGAGCTTGGCTGTGCCAAGCATCTTCCTGATGTCCTTCTTTTCCTTGTGACTGAATTGAAGAAATCGCCATCTTAGTAATCACTGGGCTGATAGATACATCCTGTCCGTGAGTTCTTGACACTGTGCTGGGGAGTTGCTTCTATACCTCGTTCATGGTCCATTGGCACATTTTTCATCAAGATGAATGAACTGTTCTTTGACTCCTTAAACCAAGACCTCAACAGTTCACTGGACATTCTGCAACCAGTGGCTGTTTGGATGTAAACGTTTTCAAATATACATCGATTAGAATTGTATTGTATCAGAGGAATCTAATATTTGGTGCCATCAAATTCCCTTTGGAGATTTGTAATCATTTTAACTCACTGATTACTGTTTATTGGAGGAAGAGCCATTGGGTTAAGTATAACTTCAGATATTCTCTATTTGCTTATCATTCAAAAATAGTTTGCTTGGGGCAACTGGGTGGCTCAGTCGGTTAAGCGTCCAACTCTTGGTTTCGGCTCAGATCGTGATCTTAAGGTCATGAGATTGAGCCTCATTTTGTGTGAGGTCGTTAAGCCTTTGTTCCTGGGGATGAACAGTGGACATGTGGGCAGGTATCGTCAGCGGGTGCCATGAACACCTGCCTGTCCTGTGCCTTGACAGCTGACTGTTCCAGCTCTTTCCACAGGTTCCCGTTCCCCATGGTGTTCAGCAGCTGTAGCAAGAAGGACCTGGAGGTCAGCCTGGAGAAGGGCGTGGGGATGTGCCTCTTCAACCTGCCGGAAGTGAAGCAGTCTTTTGGGGGCCAGAAGTGTGGGAACGGCTATGTGGAACAAGGGGAGGAGTGTGACTGCGGGGAGCCCGAGGTAAGAGACTCGTCCCGGGACCGTGGTCTTGTGGCCGTGGCTCACAAAGCAGTGTGTGTGTGGAAGAAGGATGCTGCAGAATGAAAGTGCTAGAAACTCGGGAGGCAAAGTCCTAAACGGCCACCTCAAGCAGCCACACAAGCCAAGGTAGCTCTCTTGAATTGTGACAATGGTGGCTCTGGTTGGAAATGTTAAAGAATCTTCTGTGTTGAAGGATACTGTGTAGGTGAGGGGAGCTGAGGACAAGAACAATGGAGAAGCATTTAGCTTTGAGTTTAACAGAGAAGAAAGCTTAGGAATGCTAGCCTCAGATGGCTAATAAGCGTCATTTCTTTCTCTTTGTAAGGCGAGCAACCAGAGGGGAATTTGAATAAGCAACATTCATTTTGAACGAAGAGCTCCCGCCCCCGTTGCATCTCTGCCTGATGCACGGTCACCTTTGTATGCACGAGCCGAGGCTCTGGGCTTCTGCCTCCTCCCTCGTTAGCTTTCAGAAGCAATAAGCCAAAGCAGGAAACAGATTTATCCAGCAAAGGGCTTACTTAACCCTGTTTCCCAGCCAATGTCAGGAAAATTTCTTGTTTCTGTAGGGCCCAAGATAAAGTTAATCAATGTAAAAATTATAACAACCCACTTTCTGATCTCTGAATGATCTTGAGCAGGAAAGAGAAAGACAGGACACAGTGAAACCTCCTGGTAAAAGCAAGTGCCTCCTGGAAGCTCGGAGGAGGTTGTGTTTAGAATAAATCAAAGCGAGCTGTTTGTATCGCAAGACTTCTGCATGTGGGATCCCCTCCCCGAGAGCCGATGCCAGCTGGAATGGCAGACGGGTTCAAGGCGGGCTTCACTGGATGGACAGACAGGCTTGGCGAGGGCTCAGGAAGAGCATGTTTGGGAGAGCTGCTCTGAAGGGGGTTGCTGGGGTGGAAGGAAAGAGGCAGAAACCTTGGATTCCTGGGTTTATCAGACAGGCAACTGATTGTAGAATCTCCTTCATCTGCCTAATCTCCCAGTCTCTGTGGTTTCACAAACCAGCGGGACCCATCTTGGACTCAGTCTGGCCATTTCTGCAAGAATGTCAGGAGTGAATAAGTACCAGGGGATGGGGTTTGTAGGGGCGGTCCTGTCAAATGTATGTGTGCCCTTTCCAAATCCGGGATTCATCTCTGATAGCAGCTCTGGTCCAGAGCAGCAGGAATTGTGGTCCCAATGTGCTGGGGAGGATGGCTGTGCGGGAGCGAGACCTCAGGCATGGGGCTGTAGAAACTCTTCTTCAGATTAGTGGAGGAGCACTTGAAACTGTCATGGGATGGGGCATGCAAAGGGGAAATTCCATAGAGTTTTTGTTAATTACCTGAAGAAGAAAAAAAACAAAATTAGTTTAAATTACCCGTAGTTCTCAGGAGAGGCCATGCGGACTTCAAACGGTTTGTCTTTGATTTGAACTCCTCGTAATTGCTTGTTTAATTTAAATAAATTTGACAGCTCTTCTTAGAGTCATGAACTCTCAGGTTTAGGATGACCATTAGCAGTGACTCGCTCCGTATTCCGGTATCAACACCGGCCCTGCTGCCACCCTCGCCCGCCATCATCACCCTCCCATATCACCCTACCATAACCACTGTCCTCCTCATCACTGCCATCCCCAGCATCAGCACCATCCCCGCCACCAGTACCCCACCACCATCACGTCAGCAAATGTTTGAGTGCCCGCAACTGGCCAGCCATGGCCGTGACCCTCCACGTCACCTCCATCGAGGAGGCGTTCAGCTTTGGGAGGGTGCTTACTGTCTCTCCAGGCAGGATGCAGTATCACAGGGTAGCGCCGATTAAATCCGACTCCTTCCTCGTGGACAGCCACATTCCACCTGCACATAGTTCCCAACTGGATATGTCTGGGGTTCAGGTCCTTACTTCACAGGGTAATTTCTTGATATTTGAAGAGAACTGGCATTCTCCTAGTCCAAAATCCTTTTGTCCAAGAACTCTTTCTTGGACAGTCACGGACTGTCCAAGTCATGGACGAGACTTTTGCTTCAATTTGCAGTTCTACAGCTTTTGCTTTTCAAACTGCGTCTAACATGGTAGCATCCTACAGGACCCAGTTTCCAAACCGCTGCGGCCAAAACTTACAGTCACAACTGGGCTCAGTTCGCCAGGGCTCTTTGTGTCTGTCCCCAGCGCTCAGGCACTGGAAGTACTTGTTACCCCCGTGCTTCTATTGGCCCGCATACCCCCTCACCCATAGAGGGACTTGGTGTCTCACCATATCAGCGAGCAAATGGGATCAGAACAACTTCCCCAGCTCACAAGTGGACCCGGCTTCTGCCCCTTTGCTCCCAGAAATAACCTCCACTGTTTTCAAGAAGCAGTGCCGTAGACATGCCAGTGCGCTGCAGTGAAGAACCGGGTCCACCACCCGCACCCAAGAATGACAGGGTCTTTGCAGCATCCTCTAATGGCTTCATTATTCTTTTTTTCTTTGGAGACCTAGTGTTCATTGGCTCTGTTGAACTCTGCTATTGAGTGCTAAGTTAATATGTATATCAGCAGAGGAAGAATGTTTCTCTTCTGATAAGTACAGTCCTGTGGAAGAAAGAGATCCTGGGTTGTGACAAAGGCAAGTGGCTGCTGAAGCCTTCCGTGCAGGGCATGGATTTACATCCACCATAAGGATGTCCTGACAACTCACTCCTTCATCCGGCTAACAGGGTTGGGAAAGCAGCCCTGCCTCCTTGTTTAAAGTCAATAGAACGCCAGTAGCCTGCAAATATCCATTAAACTTAGTTATCTTTCTCACATTATCAATCCCCTTTGAAGTCAAAGCCATGCCGCTTGGCTGCGTTTCCATTTGAGCGGCTGCTTATAGTATCTGGTGGTTTGATCGGAGGTGGGGGGAGGTAGTTCTCAACGAATCTTAGGACCCAGTTTTCAGAGGGCTGATTTAACTTAGAAGCTCGGGGAAATCTGTGATTTGGTTAGTGTGTCATTAGTAGAGCCATTTAGACCTTAATGCGCAGCATGACACTGCTGTATATTTGATGATACTGATCAGGAATGCAATCAGTCAACTCCTTTAAAAAAAAAACAACTTCCTAAATTTTGTAAGATTGTAAGTCCATGAGTTAGAAACCCTTGCCGTCTTGAAAATTACAGCTATGACTTCTGGTTGGCACTTTTATCTTATTGTATATGTTATATACTCCGGATGTTTATAAAGTCCTTGAGCAAATTTAAAATTTAATAACTCTGGATGTATGTGTAACAGGGGCAAATGATAAACACCACATGAGAGCAATTCTGCAATTCACAGTCTTACACAGGGTACAGTTCAGAGATCTAGGATAGTCCCAAACCTTCTGGATTATCAACAAAATGTTGTTAATTGTGTTTATAATCCTAACGATAAACTCATTTGCAGAAGATGGTTTTCAGGACTAAACGACTTTACTCTTAAAACAGTACATGGTTGGCTTCCCTCTAGCTAATAGTGTATACATTCTTCTGCTCATGTCATATACTAAATAGAAGGACATTGATAAATTAATCCTAAAGACCCTATGACCTCTTCCTTCTTTGTTTTTTTTAAAAGATTTATTAATTTATTTGTTTGACAGATGAGATCACAAGTGGGCAGAGAGGCAGGTAGAGAGAGAGAAGGGGAAGCAGGCTCCCCGCTGACCAATGCGGGGCTCAATCCCAGGACCCTGAGACCATGGCCCGAGCCAAAGGCAGAGGCTTAACCCACTGAGCCACCCAGGTGCCCCTGACCTCTTCCTTCTGATAATTCAGTTTCTTCTAAAATGTGTGAAGTCCAGGTTATTGGGATATCCTAAAGTCCTAGGACTTCATGCTTACGCTAGGCACTATGCGTAGACCTTTTGTAGACAGCTAAGCGAAGATGTCCATCCCCTGTAGGGTTTTTTGCTAGAAAAAAAAGCAGGTTCTTGTGAAGAACAGCTTGGCAAAGGAGGTTTTCTCTCATTTCAGAGAGAACAATGCATGTAATATTTGATCTAACTGTTTAAATCCCTTGCAAATCAGTGGGCACAGGACCTTCCAGTGATCTAGGTCGTTATGCATTTCCGACCTGCGAGGTGCCTTGTCAGGTGGGGCAGCCCCGCTGGGCCGAGCAGGAGTCTTGGCTACAGCATTTGGTGGGATCTCGGCGAATGGTGGTCCGAACACAACCGGGGACTTCACGCCCTGCCAGCGTGCTCCGGATGAAGAGGGCCAGTCTTGGAAAGAGTTCCGTTGGTGCACGTCTCTGCGTGTTTCTAAGTCAGCTCCAAGCTTGCTGGTGATCCCGATACAGTTCGCTGTGGGGAGACGTGCCACATCCGCGAGCGTGGCCGGACTCGGTAGCCAGGCTTCCTGCAGGCTCCCTGCCTGCACCCCTCCAGAGGCACTGAGGGCCACGGACTCTCCCCGGGGGCTCACCCCGTCCGTTCAGAAGCACTTCCCAGAGGCTGGGTTTTGTCACAGATGAAGTCCCTCTCGGCCAGGCTGGTTTTCAGCTCAAGGGCCAGGCCCTCTGGTTCTTCCTTCCCTTTATGGGTCCCGCCTTCTGTGAGTAGTTGTCCCCTGTGACCTGCAGCCGTGTCACATGGAGCGCACCCCCCTCTGCAGGGATGTGTGAATCTTTGCTGCAACGCCAGCACGTGCACCCTGAAGCCGGATGCCGTGTGTGCCCACGGGCTGTGCTGCCGAGACTGCCAGGTGAGTTCTCTCGGCCCGAGGCCACCCCCGGGCCCCGCGGGTTCCTCTCTGGGGCAGGACACAGGACACCTGGGCTGTGAGAATGGTGGCCCCTGACCGCACAAGCCGGTGTCCCCCACCACCTCCTCTCACCATCACCCTCGCACACTTGAGGGCTACATCAGCTGTGATAAGTTATTTATTTGTGGGGTGAAAGCAACGCATCCAGAAAAACTCTGGCTCAGTGTTAAATGTGCCTGTTGTGCCATTGGAGGTGCGTGATGTCCCCAGTAATGGGACCAACTGGGGAGCCGGGCCCGACCCTTGTCACTCCACCCCTGCTTGACCCCAGGAGCACCTGCCTGCGGGGCCGAGAAGCCGTGTGGGCTCCTCCAGGGGTGTCGCGTCAACATCTGGATCCTGCCGTCCTCCTAACAGGGCACCAGCTGGCCAGCCCAGCCCACCGCACCAGTTTCCGGCTTTGGCTCTTCCTGCCACCAGGACTGGGTTCATTTTGGCAATTCCAGGGCCTGTCTCGTTACTCAGAGCCGAGATCTGGAAGCCCGAGATTTTGATTCAAAGATTCCAAGGGTGGACTTTATATCTTTCTAAATTAAGCAATTGATTTTGGCCTTCTGCTCGCAGGAAACTCCGTCTTAGCTCCCCCGCTAGAGCTCGGTGGGTCACAAGGTGAACCCCAGAGCCCAGGACAAGGTTCTGTTTACTTAATGACTCTCTGGGTCTCTCTTGCTTTGGAATCCTTGCCCTTTTATGTGCGGCTTCATGAGGATGGCCTTGCTCCATTCTGCCCCAGGGGCACTGCTGGGCAGCCGCTCCCCCTTTCCCGCAGCACACGTGCTATAAACAGCCTCTCCTTCCAGCTCAAACCTGCGGGAACAGCGTGCAGGGACTCCAGCAACTCCTGCGACCTCCCAGAGTTCTGCACGGGGGCCAGCCCCCACTGCCCCGCCAACGTGTACCTGCACGATGGGCACCCGTGTCAGGGGGTGGACGGCTACTGCTACAACGGCATCTGTCAGACCCACGAGCAGCAGTGCATCACGCTCTGGGGACCAGGTAGGTGGCTGCCACCAGTGGGCTCAGAGCAGTGGGGTTGGGGAGCTCACTTGTTTTCCAGAAGCACCACTCCTTTCGTGTTCCATCTACAAAGCTCCCTTCCATTCAGCTGCAGTGATTGGCTCCCTGGTAGGTCTGGGGCCGTGCTGGGCACTAGGCAGGCAAAAATGGGTGCTTCCTAGAACCTCTCCTGAGGGCTTACTGTGGTCCAATGAGGAGAGATGTGTCAGCACTTACTGTGTGCCCTAGGGAGTGACAGGGAAGAATCAGCCATGAACCCTGGCCTCAGATAGCTTAACAGGTAGTTGGACAGACAGCTGGAACCTTCCATCCACTCTGATTATGTGTAAGTGCTTCTTGGTGCTCAAACAAGGACCCCAGCCGGAGTCTGGGGGTGCCAAAGAGAGTCACTGCAGACTGGATGCATGAGTTGTCTGTGACCAGGAGGGACAGGGAGAGGTTGTTCCTGATGCAAGGAGCAGCAAACTGGCCCTGGGTTGGGAAGGCACACAGAAGGGACTGCTGGGATGGGAGGCCTGGATACCAGAGCTCAGAGAAAGAACATGGACACAGGTGTTTAAGATTTTTGAAAGCCATTTTGGTTCTAAAAGCTGAGTAATGGACTTGTGTGTTCCAAAAAAGGCACCAGGGCGGGCAGGTAGCTAGGAAGCAGCTGCTGGGGTAATTAGAGTCTGTCGACTCACTGCTTCCTGTGTAGGGGAAGCCAGGCCCAATGCACAGTATGACTTGCCCCTTCTGACTCCCAACTTAGAGATAGGGACAATGGCTACAGTTTAGAGAAACCAAAGCCCCAAGTCAGAGACTGGAAGTCAGTTTCGTGAAGTTGTGATGCTGGGATTTGAACCGAGGCCAGATGACCCAAAGGCCATAGAAAATGCACACATGCAGTCACACCAAAGACCAGGTCTAGAACAAAGCTCTACTGTCCCAACAGATGCTGGGATGCAAAAGGGAATAATCAGTACCCCTGGACACGTCTCTCCTCTGACCCATCTTCGGGGGCCAGAGGCCCAGGGCCCTGGGGGACAGCCAGGGCCCAGTGGACTCCCCATCCCAGGGTTTGCCGCCTCTGTCCAGCTCCAGGATTCCAGTAATCCCATGGAGAGCACTTTCGAAGAGTGCGGTCCCTACCGTGCCTGTCATTGTCCCTCCCGCCGCCTTGCAGACATGACCTCAGCGCTGGCCAGGGACACCAGCTGTGGCAAGATGACTGTGGTCAGCCAGACAGAGAGCCAGGCAAGCTCCAGAGGCAGGGAAATCTGATATGGGCCTCTGTCAGACGTTCATTGTGAGGGTTTGGTTTCAGGAGTGAGGAAGACAGTAAACTAGGGCAGATACTCATAGCTTGGGTTTTCAGTGTGCTATGAAAGCCGTGAGCAAGCAGGGAGAACGGGGACAGAGGTTTCTGAGGGTCAGGTCTGTCACGGAGCCCACCGCCCCACCAGCCAAAGATACCCCTCCATTATTGGGCCTCCCTGAGGGGCGAGAGGAGCAGCACAGATGCAGCATCGAGGGCCTGAGGCGGCCTTTTCGTCATATCTGTGGGGTGTTCTCCCAGTGCTCCTCAGATTTCATGGGTCCGTGGGCACAGGAGGTGGGGGTCCTGTGGTATCTGGGGCCTTGTGCTTCATCTCTGGACCCTGCCCAGCCCTCTGTGTGGCCTCCTCACCAGCTGGGCCAGGGGACCCCAGGCCAGGGTGAGATCTCTCCGTCTCCCACTGGGTGAGTGCCTTGCGGTGACAAACACACAGAAGGCACTCGCTCTACACCGTCGGGCGGCCGGATGGGCTCTGAATGGCTTCGTGACTTCGGACACCTTTCTGCCAAGTGAGGTCACTTTGGGACAGTGGCTACTGCTTTAGGCCCAGCCCTCGAGGCCTAAAGCCTCCCTCGGGGCTAGTCCTTCCCAGCCTTTCTCCAGACTCTGCAATCTCCCCGCTTCTTGAGTTACAGGGGATGTTACGATGCTCCCTTTCAAAAAAGCGTTCTGTGGCCAGAGCACACACAGCACTTGGAGCTTTTGGAGTAAAATATGCTCTTTGGTGCCCTGCAGTATTACAGCGTCTGGCCCTGTTTCCCAAGTGAGGTCAGATGGAACTCCGCGGCTCTCTCCGCGCCACCGCCACTGTGTGATTCAGCTGGCCGCACGCCTCAGATTCCTGGTGACCAAGGCTGGTATTTATTATCTCATCAGATTAGTCCTTCTCAAGCTGCTGGACCAGAGAGAGTGAGCCAGACAGGCAGGCACACTGACAACCTGAGTCATGCCTGAGCTTTTCAAAAGCAAGAGCACCAGGACGTTACCTCCTTTGAATTCTCAGCCTCCCTGTGGCGGCTGGTGAGGGGGGTGGCCTAGACCGCCTGGGGGCCTGCACCAGCTGCTGTAGAGGGCTGTGGGTCTGCAGCTCCCAGCCTGCCTCTTCTCTCCCCGGCCTCCCCTAAGGACTGAGAGAGTCACTGCACATAGACTAAGCCTCCCTGGCATCAGGGGTGCTCAGAGTTCCTGGAAGTGACGAGCTTGGGGTCCTACCTCAGCCCCATGACTTCCCAGGTTCGCTGTACTTCAGCCAATCCTTTCTCGGTCCTTCAGATCACTGGACACACTTCCTCGGGAGGGTCAGAAACAGCCGCGGCCCCCACAGTCCTCAGAAGGGCCTTTGACCACCTCCTCTGGGAATGCAGTGTGCTCTTTCCTTCTGTGTCTGTGCAGCTGCCCATTGTCTAGTTCAGGGGCACAGTACGAGTTTCCTGTGGCTGCTGGAACGAATCATCACAAACGTGGTGACATACGCCAGCACAAATCTGTCATCTTCCAGCTCTGTGGCTTGGAAGTCCTCACATGGTGGTGTTGATGATGCAGTGTTACTCTCGCAGGCTCATGGGGAGAGGACACTTCTCTGCCTCTTGCGGCTTCCTGAGGCTCCTGCTCTCCCGGGCTCACGGCGCGCCTCCATCTTCAAGGCCAGCAGCACGCATCTGCTGATCTTGACCTCTTTCCAGCTTTTCCTTCTGCTGTCCCATCTTCTTCTCCACGTCGGACCCTCCCATCCCCCTCTTAGAACGGCCCTGGGATCCTGTTGCTCTGATCCAGACCCTTCAGGAGAAACACCCCTCCCCAAATCGTTAACTTCATCACATTCTCAAGGTCCATTTTACCATGTGAGGGGACATACTCACAGATTCTGAGGATTAGGATGTGGGACTCTTCAGGGGCCATTATCTGTCTACCACGGGCGTTGAACCGACCACTTGCTAACGAGGTGACCTTCAACAGACTACTCGACCTCAGGCCTCAGCTGTAAACTGGGGATTGTAGTTGGGCTAGACCACGGGTATCCTGTTGTCCTCGAACACAGCCCGTGACCTCTTGTGTGTGCTGCATCACGTGCAGTTGTGTGCTCTGTGTATGGCGCCTCGGAAGTCTGAACTCTAGAAGGAGGCTCTGACTGAGCCCACAGGAAGTCATGGACCAATGAGCCTGTGTCCTGGGGCTGGCGTGAGTGCTGGGAAGTGGCGGAGCATGGAGTGGGGCGTCCTAGATGAGGTGGCCCTGGAGACACCGTTTGGCAGGGGTGGGAGGGGAAGGGTACTTCCTGCATGTGGAACAGCAGGGGTCAAGGCGCCCAGAAACACCAGCGGGGGCGGGGGGGGGGGCGTTCCAGGGAACTGCAGGCAGTTGGGCTTGTCCAGAGCTTGGATTGCGACCTGGAGAGCAGAGAGCCTCACTTCTCACCCCGTTCTCTCATTTATTACATATTCCTCGGTGTCCAGCTCTTACCAGATGCTGCTGACTCGAGAACCTGATTCTGCCAGAGGAACAGACTTCCCAGCGTCCCTCTGCGCTCTCGCTTGGACCTGGAGGAGAGTCGGGATGTGACCCTTGCGATCCCGGGGGTGGGGGTGACTTCCACAGCCAGGCCCCCAGCCAGCAAGATGCACGGGGCTGAGAGCCTTCTGACGCTGCGTTACGGTGCTTGGTTTAGATTAGCCGTGATTCAGAGAGGGAGAGCTTCTTGTCAGGAACACATCTGCCATATTTCATTTCCCCCACGGTTCGCAAATGCTCTGGGCTCTGGACTACATTTGCTGGAGGGCCATTTTCGTTCCCCTCTGAGGCCCGATGACTCAGAGCTCCAGGGTCGCCGGGCTCCTGCTTGCTGGCCCGTGCCACGCGCGCCCCAGTGACTGGAGAGAACTGTCAAGTCCTCCGGAAACGTCCAGTTACGCTCAGGATGTCCATCCGTCTCCAGGCCTGGCTGTCGGCGCGTTGGCCGCACAGAGCCTTCCCTTCCAGCTCCCTTATTCCCTTTTGAAATGGACTTTTCTCAACCCGGCGTTGGATTTCAATAAACTAATCCTGCTTCCAAATCTTTCTACAAATAGAATGATAGAAAATTCAAAACATATGCCTGCAACCAACTCTTCGCTAGCAAGGTAATACCCTTTTAGAATACCTTTTGGGGTTTTCGTTCATTTGTTTCTTTTCCTAAGTAGTGTTGATAATGTTCTTGTTGGCGAGGAGTTTAAATTCTTCCCCTCCCCGCCGCTGGCCCCCCGATTCTTCTTCCACAAATGTTGTATCTCAAGGCCTTAGGGGCTGGTGTCAGGCACAGAAATGTTACCTGCAGTTCAGACTGTGGCCTGTGCTACACCCCCTTAGTCCAGTTTGGTTTTAATGGCCACAAAGATTTTCTGTCCCTGTGACATGACCTTTATTCCTTCTGAAATACAGCTGGATATTTTTCTTCAGGCAGAAAATTTACTTTTGCCAACGTTGTTTATCTGAACCATGGTTACTGAAAGCGCTACTTGGAAATTAATCTTACGGATAACTACATGTCTAGAGCCACAAACAATTTGCATCAGGGAAGTCCTGAAATATGTTAGTTTTATCTATTTTATCACTCACCAGAAAATAGTGTCGCTTGATTTATGTAGTGTGAGCCGGCCAGACAGTTTTTATGGGCTGGTAAATATTC